GTCGTCCGTTTTCAGTAGAATAACATATTATCTATTATGTTTACATAGTTTTAAATCATGGGCAAGTATGCGAAATATTCTAAAAAGTATAATGCTGATTGGGAATTATTACCATGTTTTTCTAGTAAGTTATAAATGTATATGAATGTTTATAAATGTGTCACAAGAGAGAGGTGTTTAAAAAAATTATATTCTTATAGAGTGGCTTCAACGTGCATCGGAAGCTTATGCTGGAAAAGGTGAAGCGTTTTGTAAAATCTGTAGAGTGCCCTTAAAAGGACGCTACACCACCCGTAATTTGATTATAAAAAGTGTTTTGCGCGGGACAACTTTTCTCGCACCATATTTGTTGTAGAGCTACCAAATTTTCACAACACATAAAGAAGAACATTATCTGTGCAACAACGTGCTCTAATTTTTGATAGCACTGTTCAACCATTTTTTATAAGTAAATCAAAAAATCAAAAAAATTAAATATTTGGAAGCAAATAACTTTGTTTCTATTTGTATTATCTAAATTATAAGCACGTAGTTGCACAGATAATTTTCTACACTATATGTACAGAAATTTTGGAGTTTCTGCTATAAATATGGTGCGAGAAAAGTTGTCCCGCGTAAAACAGTTTTACAGAAAAAAATAAATATTATTTCGATGGATATTTGCTGCGCTCATATTATAATATTATTATACGGCCGCGTTCGGCATTGCAACGTTCATCCCCACTCCATTATTCGTTGGTGGCGTGTGAGTTATGACGGCCAGCGACCTTCCAGACCGATCGCGCCGATTACGATATGACCAAAATAGAAATAATGAATTACTTATTATTATATTTCCGAAAATTATTATTATTTGTACAGACGCAATCAATTCTACAAACACATAAATAGTAAAGCGTCTAGGAGAGGGTCTGTGTACTATAATAATTTATAATAATACAAGTTGAAAGACATTTTATATTATTATTATAATATTATACATTTATACTATCGATCACTGACTAGGCCAGTGGGTACTAGAATTATAGACGTATCACGTATCACGTATAGTGTTTTACTGGTATTATCTTTTTCATCTATTTCTTTTTCTCGTTGAAAAATGTCGCCAATAAAATGTCGTGCCATTATAAAAAAGCGTGCCCGATCAGGTAAGACATGCATGAAAAAAAGAATGAAAAAAATTCGTAATACACCGTAAGTAACATTTAATATTTACTATTTAATATTTATAGTTATTTATTTATACATGTTATATATTTTAAATTGTACAATAATTGAATACAAATAAAAAATAGAAAATGTAAACTCATGTAGGTAAATAAGGTAATAAAATATTATTAATTTATTTTCATCAATATGAGTAAGTATACAATCATAAGTATTAATCAATACTAATATAAATATTAAATACTAGTAGGCATGTGAATTTAATGCAAAAAAAAAAATTTAGATACCTATACAATAAATTTCAAATTAATCAAATCAGATTCATTATGTACCTACCCAATAACCCAACTCACTCAAAGTAATTCATAGTAGGTAGTATATACAATTTAAAGTACCCACGAATAATATTTTCAAATACCTAACAATAATATAACTAAAATTGTTATTTTAGATTCTGAACGGAGTGATGAATGTATTGATTTTACAATGATGTGTGTTTTTTTTTTGTGTACCGTTTCTGAAAGGAAAGTGAATCTAGTCTCTATCAAAAGTGAAAAATTTCCAATACTTTTCAAAAGCGTCGGGAAAAACCTTAAAAAAGTGACGGAAAAACGGGAAATTTTACGCAAAACCAATTTTTGACAAAAACGAAAATTTAATTTTACTGTAACTCAAAAAATAATTTTTGTAAGCACTTGAAATATTCAACGAATGTTTATATTACCGTTGTCTATACAGGGTTAAATTTTCAAAGTGTTTTGACTTTTTTTGAAATATTTATAGACAATTTAAATTTTAAATTTTTCTAAGTATTTTTTTTTTTAAATAACTATAAACAATTTTTGGTTGGCCAGAAAATCTTTAAAATTTAATACAAGGTTTCTTATAAGTTGTTCTCAAAGGGATAAAAAAAAATCTTTTATCGTTCGTCACAAATTTTTTTTATAAGTGCTTAAAGTTCAAATTTATACGAAATATGTCAAAATAGCGAAAATTTGCAAGTAATTTTGTGGTTGAAAAATCGTAAACTTTTTTCCTTTTATAACTAAGTTTTGAAAATTTGGTACAAGGTTCTCCATAAGTTTTTCTTTAAATATCTGTAAAAAAAACTCTACCTTTCTAAGACAAAAAAATTTTAGGAGTGTTTGAAATTTAAATTTTTACAAAACCGCGTTAAATAACAGTTTAGCCTCAAACGATTTTTGATATTTGTTATTAATCAAAAAGTATAAGTCGTAGAAACTTGAAAATTTTACCAGTCATTTAGATTGCCATTTTCTTTACATGATTTGATTTTCAAATTATATTGACCTTTTTTGAGCTATTTATAGGCATTTAAAATAATCAATTTTTTTAAATTTTTTTTTTATAAATGTTGATAAAATACTTGAAAATTTAATAGGAGGGTCCACATAAGTTGTGTAAATGTATAAACAATTTTTTATTAAAAACTAAGAATTGAAAATTTAATACTAGGTTGTCCATAAGTTGAGCTTAGAATAATTATAAAAAAAATTGATGATTTTTCAATTAAAAAAATTTTACGAGTGTTTAAATTTTCACGAAATCAAAATTCACGGGTAAAATAACAATTTTCAATCAAACGAATTTTGATTTTTGTTATATTTTTATAGTAAATAGTAATATAATACATGCAAGGTTAACTTATGAGGAACCTTGTATTAAATTTTCAAGTTTTTCAACCTAACAAATAAAATTTTATTTATATTTATAGAATAAAAAACTAAAAAAACGGAAAATTTAAAACGTCTATAAATTGTTGAAAATTGTTGAAAATTTTTTCAAGTATAGGAATTGATGAAATAAATATTTGGTGTAAATTTCAAGTTTCTACAATTATTCGTTTTTAAATAACAACAAAATAAGAATATCGGTACAACTGAAATTGAGTGAATATCTAATATTGTAATTCAAATGATCATAAAAATTTAATATGACTTTCCAGTAGAAATTTTTTATTTGATAAAAGTAGAAAAACTCATGAAGAATTTTGTATTGAATTTTCAAACCTTGGATTTAAAAAGAAAAATGTTTATGAATTTCTAATTCAAAATAAATTGTAAATTTTCGTGATTTTTACGTATTTTGTCGTATTTCGAACTTTCAATGCTTCATAGGCGCAATTTCAGTTTTTAACTTGGAGGGGCTCAACATATTTAAATGAAACAGACCAATCATGTTGTTGCATGGGCTTGTTTCATGTTTCCAGATTTAAACTTTAGAAACAATTTTTTTCAAACAACATTTACTGTATTATGTAGATTAGATAGTTAATGAAGGATTTAATATTTCAATTAAAATATAAATTTTTGGAGGGGCTAATTTTAATATTGGAGGGGCTAAGCCCCTCCAAGTCCCCCCCCAAATATCGCCTATGCAATGCTTATTAAAAAATTGCGACTGTATTTTTAATATTTTTTAACTACTATTGCGACAATATATTAGAAGTCTTGTATTAAATTTTGAAGCTGTTTTACCCAACGAATAAAATTTTATTGTCATTTATAAAAAAAAAAAACTAAAAAATATTAAAAATTTCAAATGTCTATAAATAACTTAAAAAGATTTGAAATTAAATTTCATCATGTATAGAAAATGCCAGTATAAACATTTAGTGAAAATTTCATGTTTCTACGGTAATTTGTGTTGAGTTACACCAATATCTTAAGACTAAAATCGATTTTTTCAAAAATTGATTTTGCGTAAAAATTCTCGTTTTTCGTTACTTTTTTAAGGGGTTTAGTGTTAGATAATTACTTAATAAAATTGCTAAAAAAAAATCACTATTTAACAATTATATATGATTATTTAGTAATACAGACGTAAAATTTAGTCCAGAGTGTAGTGAATTTTCAGAGTAAGTATAGTTAAATTAATTTAATAATAAATATTTAAATCTATATATTATTGTAACTGATTATTTTATAAATGATTTTTCATCTGCGGATTTGCCTAATTGAAGAAGTCTAAACGTATCATCGATTAGTGTAGATGATTCAATAAATAACCAAGAATTGTGTTCTTTAAATCGGTAAGTTTATACCTAGTGAATAATACCGTATGGTGTAGGTGATTTTGATGTAATGTATATGTACGACTAATTTTTACAATTACCTACATATTATTTTATAGCAACGTGACTTCAACCTGCAGCATTCTATCGACCAATGCATCTACAGAAGATAGTTTATTAACAGAAGATACAACCATTACTGAGTAAGTATTTACAAATAAATTAATATGGGCAGATATAATAGTGTATAATATAATTATTAATTATTCTAGTGACAGCAATATATCTGACCATAACCTAAGTGTCATTTATACTGCATCTGAAGATAGCTTATCATCGGAAAACACTGCAACTACTGAGTAAGTGTGTACAAACACTAAAAACAAACTAGTGTTATGCAATTTCATTTAATTTTTAATTTTTTACTAGAACTTATAATACACTGTTTATGATTGACTAATAAATAATTTTAAAAGCAATAATATCACTCTGAAAAAAAAAAGATGCCATAAAGAACTCACTTAAGCTATTGTAGGTACCTCGTACCTATATTGGCTGCAGTACCTACGTTTTGAGAATGTATACTTCCAATAAATTAGTAATTACCAAATAGTTTGTGCCAATTTTGATGAATTTGATCAACATAGTTTAAATACTTGTAAAAGATAAATGTGACCATGGAATTTTGAGATTTTTTTATCAGCATAAAAACATTTTATTAGGAAAAAAAATGTAAATTTTTCATATATATTTATTAATTTCTAAATTAGGTATTGTAAAACATTTATTCAACTATGTTAGTATGTTATTATTATTTTTTTTTTATCAAATTCACAGACCGTTAACAGGCCGAAGAATTATTGACATTTTGCATTTTATCAATCAAATCCAAAAGGTACACAGTGGTGGGTTTGATTGTTCATTTATTGACATGGAGTATCAGAAAGAAACATTTATAGGATTTCAGTCAATTTTAACATTTAAATGTAAAGTGTGTAACATCGAAAGTAAACTTTATACTGAAAATCCTAAAACAGTACAAGTCCCAATCAATAAAGCGACTGTTCATGGCTGTCAAGCAATCGGTATTGGTCATACACAGCTGTCGGAATTGTTTTCATTTCTTGAAATCCCATCGTTATCGATTAATGGTTATACGAAAATACAAGAAAACGTAGCTGATATTGTGCATGCCACAGCATGGGATGAAATAAAAAAAGGTGGTGAGGAAGAAAAAAAAATGGCGTTGGAGTGTGGTGATATAGACGTAGATGGCACACCAGTTATCACAGTTGTTGCAGATGGGCAGTGGTCTAAACGCAGCTATCGGACAAAATACGATGCCTTATCTGGAGCAGTAAGTATTAGGGTATTAGTATTAGTTTGCATATTTTTTATTAATCATTCAAAACATAACTTGTTGTTACATAAATTTGTTTTAAAGAAATACAGTTATACTGCATATTTAATTAAGGCCCTCCGCACACTACGCGATTGACACGCGACGCAATTTCTCCCTCTCGCGATTTCCTAGCAAACTGAATAGAGTTCCACTAACAACGCGATTTGTTGACAACGCGATTGCGACGCGACCGTGACGCGAGCAACGGACGACACGTGCGATCGGCAATGCTGGTCGCCTGGTAGTCGTATCGTGCGTATTCTACGCGATTTCATTACATTTTTTTATTATTATCATGGAGGCGTTCAACATTAAATTTGTTGGTGAGGTTGAAAAACACCCACCTCTATATAATTATACGATTCCTGACTATTGTAGGAAAGATTTGGTGGACAAGGCATGGCATGCTGTATCTACAGAAGTTAAAATACCTGGTAAGTATTATATATTTTATACATTTGATTATATATTTTATGATACATACTAGTTAAATTAAGATAGATAGATACAAAGATTGAGGTAAGGTCTTGTAATATGTAAACTTATTACAATATATTATATATATTATACTTAGAATAGGTATGTAAATGATTTAAACATAAACAATTATTTAATTTGCACAATCTTTTTTTTTTTTAATTATTATATTTTCTTAATACAATTAATAACATTCTTACTAATTTATTTCGCTTTTGAAAAGTTTCTATTCTCTAAATTCAGTTCAGATTTTGCGGCCTGATTCCTTGGATCACGAATAAATACGTACAATATAATAGTACCCCAAGTACCAACTAACAACTATAATTAAATATTATATTAATAGTATTCAATGGAGAGATGTATTTATGGACCTAAATATAATGGAGTTTATAGATATCCGTATCGGTGACATTGTTATTACAGTGTTCTCTAATAATATATTATTGAGCTCACTGCTATATGTCCATATTATTAATTAATAGATATTATATAGCCATGACAACATATTTTAATTTTCCCATTTGTATACGAAAATAATACAAATAACAAATAAAGTAAAACGTAATAAATGTGATGGTTAATTGTTTATTTGTGAATTCTTAAATTACCTATATAACGATTATTTGATTACCTAATGTATAACAACATTATCAAGTTTAACTTAAAGTATAATTTAAGTAAGTACATTTTAAATAATTTTAAATTTAATTGAGTATGGTTGAGTTCTATTTCTATATTATGTAATATCGACTATATGTGAAAACTAATATTAATTAATAAACACAAAAATTAAATACAAGAATTCCATTGCCATGGAATCGATGCTTGTGGAGTAATAAAATATCTTGCCAAATAATTTCTTAATGAATATGCTGTTGAGTGTTCATTTACTGTGTCTGTATGTTCACCTAATGAAAAACCATTAGTAAGGTCAACGGTGTTACGACGATCGACATTTCCAAAATGTTGAGCTGTATATTGAGTTCCTTCTCTTTTTCGTACAAAATTGTGTAGAATACAACATGATTTTATAATGTCATTGACTTTACCAACATCATGGCAACGAATGGCAGTACTTAATACTTGAAATTTTTCTGTCATCATTCCAAATGTACACTCAATCGTTTTTCTACCACGGCTTAGTCGATAGTTAAATACTCTTTGTACGTTGTTAAGATTTCGTCTTGGGTAGGGTCTCATCAAATATGTAGATAATGGAAATGCTTCATCACCCACAAAATAATAAGGAAATTCGCAGAAACTGTTGATCCTTATAATTTTGATACTGTTGAACCTGGAACATATTACCACTTTGGTATATTGAATGGTATTAAAAGCAATTTTCCAGAATGTTTGAAAGATAATAATGATATCCATATTGTGGTTGGAGTTGATGGCTTACCAATTTTTAAAAGTAATCCAGAACAATTTTGGCCTATACTAGCATACATCCGTCCAGAAAATAATAACGTTTTTCTAGTTGGACTTTATTGTGGCAAAGAAAAACCTGCTGATAGCAACAGTTTTATTAAATCATTTACTGATGAAGCACATTTATTAAATAATACTGGTATTTGTATTAATAATAAAGTGTATAATTTGTATATAGACACATTTTGCTGTGATGCGCCAGCAAAATCGTTTTTATTAAAAACTAAAGGACACAGTGGATTTTTTTCGTGTTCAAGGTGCGAACATGAAGGTTTATATTTATCAAATAGATTGTGTTTTCCCTTTACTTCGCCTACAAGGTGTCCATCTAAGAGGACACATGAAAATTATGTAATGCAATCCAATGAAGACCATCATGTTGGTAATGTATCTCTCATATCAACATTACCTTCATTTGATGTAGTAAACAATTTTTCATTGGATTACATGCATTTAGTGTGTCTTGGTGTTGTTAGGAAATTGATTCTTTTGTGAATTAAAGGTCCAGTTAGTATTAGATATCCTTCATGGAAAATCAGAGAAATATCAAAACATCTTGAAAATATTAAAGTTAATATTCCATGCGAGTTTGCCAGAAAACCTCGTAAGCTAGAAGAAGTAAACCGTTGGAAGGCAACAGAGTTCCGAATGTTTTTGTTATATGTTGGTACAACAGTGACTAAAAATGTATTGACTGTTGAACATTGGAAACATTTTTTTGGTTTGAGTGTAGCAATGATTTTACTGCTCAGTCCAGACCATGCTAAATTTATCAATATTGCCAGAAAATTATTAGACAATTTTGTTAAAAACTTTGAAAATATTTATGGTTCTCATCTGATATCCCATAATGTACATGGCTTGACACATATTTGTGATGACTATGAAAAGTTTGGACCACTTGACAACTGTTCAGCATTTCCGTTTGAAAATTTCATGGGTTCCCTAAAGAAAATGTTGAGGAAACCGGATAAGCCTTTGCAACAAATTGTCAAAAGATATAATGAAATCTGTAATTTAAAAACTAAAATTCAAACTCAAGTTATTGCTCCATATCAACTTGGTGGACCACATGTACGTGGGCCAATATTAGAAAATGTATTGAAAGGAGACCAATTTACCTGTATTGTATTGGAAACAATGACAATAAAAACAAACATAGAAGCTGATTCCTACCTTCTAACTAGTGATGATGATATTGTAAAAGTTTTTAATATAATATGTAACAAAAATTTAGATGAAGTTATTTTAATATGTAAAAAATTTAAAAACAAACATATAATGTTTAATAATCCTATAAAATCATCCAAATTAGGGATATATATGGTTGATGAATTGTGTAATAATTTTAAGTGGTATAAAATTGGTAGTATTAAAAAAAAAGTTATACTTTTACCTAATAACAATAAATTTATTGCTCTACCAACTATTCATTCTACCAAAAAATAAACCTTTTTATAGCTATATATACTTCAAATACCAAACATTGTTATTATAATTAGTATTAAGATAATTTTATATTTATATATACCAAAAATGTTATTATTCAAAATTAAAACGATTATAAGATATTAAGATATTTATAATGAGTTAAATCTTATATTCCTATTTTTTTTAGTTTATATTATATTTTAACTTGAAAATTTTTTTTTTTATTGGTTTTGAAATAATTATAAAGGGAAAATGTTTATTATAGTATAATGTGGTCAATTGTTGCTTTCAAAGACAATTCCGTAGAAGTTGTCCCATCAAATTGGTTCAACAATGAATTGTGTGCTTGGCCAAAAAAAAATTTAAGATCATGCATAGACAATCAAGTATCGCCAAATGAAAAATATTTTCGTTATTTAAGTGCTCGCAAACTAGGAAAAGATTTAAGTATGAACTTTTTTTTAAATTATGAGCAATTTGATTTAATTCTATTATTTTTCTTAATTCAATATACAGATAATTATAAAATTGCTGAGGAAAAGGCTAATCGGGCTAAACTAACGTCTGATTTGTCAACTAATGAATCTTCTCAAGAAAATGATGACAAAAATAAACCTAAATTGAAAAGAAAATTATCTCTTGATAAACAAACTACAGACATTGCAAACTTCTGGAGCCCAGATTCTTGTGATATTTATGGTAAACAAATATTTATTATATAAATTAATAAATTTAAATTTATCTTTATTTTTTTAATTTTATTAAAATAAATTACATAAATTGAATTTATTTTTATTTTTTATTTTCAGATGATAGTGATACTGATCCACTTTATGCACCAACATTAAATACTATTCAAGGTAAAATTTATTTTATGTTCGCATTTTTAAAAATTGAAAATGTATTATGTTTTCTTCATTAATATATATATTGTGAATAGTCATAAAATATTACTATCATGGTTAAATCTTTAAAACTAAATTTACCCAGCCTTTTAATTTAATTTAATTTATACTAAGTATATAAAAATATAATTATAATAATTTATTACATTATCTTAGAAATTAGTTGGTTATATTTTAAATATAATAGTATTTGCTTTGTACATATTATGCATATTGATGATGATATAAATAAATAATTTGAGATAATTTTAAGTATTATATACATTTATTATGTAGTAATATTAAATGCTTAGAACATATTATTATTACAGGTAAATTGT